TAAGGGTTTTTCTTTTATCATTCAATAACTAACATATTTCACCCATTATTAAATAATTTAAAACATCTTTTTTATATATTAGCAAATAATTGAAAGCCAAACTATTGAGCAAAAATATATAATGTGCATGGAAAAGTGTATCAAAATAGGAAATGTCATAATTAACACTTAAAATCTATACATTATACTTGTTAATGTAAACTCTTTTAACATTTACCATCTTCTAAACTTGTGCAAAGTTAAATTCTATGTCATACTGTACATGATGACATCAATTATCTTTATTACATCACAGCTTCTTGATTTGGAAAATATGTTTCCATATATTATAAAATTACTGTTAAACAATGACATCAATAATATTTTTATTACATTACAGCTTTTTGAATGGAAAACACGTTTCCAAACAAGTGATAAACAACAGGGCACCACTTTTGAAATTGTAGAGCAAACATTGTACATTATACATAATTTATGTATGGAATATGTTACTTGCTAGTATATTATTTTGAAAATTTTACAGTGTATATTATTTTGAAAATTTTACAGACAATGTTTTAATTGTTTTTTTCTTTTGAAAATTTTCCAAAGTTTGTTCTTTCGAAATTTAAAATGAAAATAAAACAGAAATTAAAATAAGAAAGTTCTTGTTTAATTTTATCATTATCTAGCAAGAAATGAGAATTGACTAATATTTAAGTTAAGCATGGAAAAAAATGAAGCACTATTTAACAAGACAGGTGTCATACAATGTCTGATGTCTGTTCATGAACAATTTTATGTAACGTTTTGATGCATTATAAATCGGTGTGAAAAGATAAATTAGACCTATTAAAGTTCATTTTGTAGGGTAAAAAGGCAAGATTTCAGCATTTTATGATTCAAGCGCCTTGCCCGGTATATACCTTGTATACCGGAATACGGTATTTAGTGGGGTGCTCCAAACCTATTTTTAGTCTCATTCACTGTATATCACTGTAATTAAAATTAACCATAATATACAATGTATTCAAATCATTGTTAATACAAGTGACTGCTGGAGTTATGGTATGATTTGGTAAATGTATAGTTGTGGTATGGTATAGTATAGTAGTGGTATGGTATGGTATGGTATGGAAGTGCAACTAAGATTCAGAGAACGAAAGTTTTGAGACTTATTGAAATCCATCGTCGGATACCCACAGCCGAACCATTAACATTTATCGGCCGAACCATTAACATTTATCAGTTGTGGGATTTTTTGCCAATATTCAGTCGATTGGAGGTGTGTCAAAGGCAGCTATTTCATTGGCTGCCTCATAATTTCATGAGGCGATTTAAACCAATCAAAATGCTTGTTTTTTACGACGTTGGGTATAACAGACACTATAGTGACAACCATAGACGACGTGAAAAATTCAACATCGAAAAAATTAAACAATTTCCAGCAAGAAAGAATAGATAATTTACTTTGATATCTGTTTGCAGAAGAACTGATTTGGCGATAGTTTTTACCATTGATTTTAGCAAGACTAGTTCAACAGTTTTTAACCGTGGGCGCTGCCATTTTGTTTCTTGTTGTTTTTTACCTCCGCTGGTGAAGAATATAGATTTGTTAAACGCGATGTCATTGGTAGATATTTTACGCACCTGTTGCTGTATATCGAAGCAAATAGATTCATTTTACCCACGGTTGAATGCATGTTATGTGACATGTTTATCAATTGTGGGTATCCGACGATGATTGTAATCAATCATAACATTCTATTGGCCTGATCAAATTCTTTAGAAAAATTCTAAACCACAAAAAAAACCTAACTAACTTATGATTACTATAAAAGAGTATCAAGAATACATGTACCTATAACTAGACCTATCACTGAAGGTGATTAATACCCCCACCATCAACTTTGACTTTTTGAAAAATAAGTAGTCTGAAGAAAAATTTGAACACAAACTATCAACTGTGTACAAAGAAATATTTCAATTAATTGTAATCCCAACTGGGGTCTCCAAATAAGCTTGCTTTTCACAAAGTTTGATTACAATATCTCATTATTATCCGGAAACCATTTTTCTATTTTTAGTAACACTGTAACGGTGACCTTGACCCCAAGGAGTCCAAATGCAATACCAACCCAGGTCTTCATATAAGCTTGTTATACACAAAGTTTGATAACAATATCTCATTCCTAACTGTACGTATTGTTGTCGGAATAACCTTTTCACTTAATAAGACAACAAATAAGCTTAAAAAAAAAAAATATCAATGTTTGACTGAACCAGACAAATTTTAAAATACAAACAACACATTTTACTTAACTAGACAAAACTTAAGAGAAAAAAAAAAAAAAATCACACACACACACATTCAAAGAAACAACAACTAAATGTATGCACCCAATAATGTATCTACACTGTCATACTCTTTACCTTTTTCTTCATGTCCCTTCAATATATCATATATAGAAACACCTGAATTACTTTCATCACTATGTGATGAATATTTACTCTGAGAATCTTGAACCTGTCTCCCCTTTTCAAACACATTAACGACCCCTGTATTGATCCCCGCTGTACTATTTTTTACACTTGAATGTAGTTTTCCTACATGTTTCGATTCATAACACATATGAGGTGAGCGTTCTGAAGTTCTATTAATAGATTGTGTCTCTATAACATGACTGTATTTAACCCCACCATCTGACAAATGAGATGAATTAGTTCTATATGGTGATCTAATCATTGTATAAGCATCAAACACACCTTCTTCTGATATATCAATCTCGTCTTCCATGCTGTTATCAATACGCATGTTAGAAAAATTCTGTTGATCTCCAAACTGAGTTGATTTCAAAGATGAGGATTCAATGTTAACGGGTGTTTGACTAGGTTCAGATACGTTTCTGTAAACGTTTGGTAATGAATTATGATGGGAAAAAACTACTTTCATGTCATTTTTATTCAAGCTACCATGATGAAGTTTTTGTAGCTGCGCAAAATTTTTACTGATCATTGTCAAATCAATTTTCTTATCCGGTAAAAACCCAAACGTCATTTCTTTATCTGTTATCAACCCTTTGTTATGTTTAGTTTCCCCGTTTACAGAGTTCATAATCTTTTCAGATTGTCTAAGTGACGTAAACATGGGATTCACACTTGATGTAGAAACTGTCCCGGTATTGTTCTGTGGTCTATTTTTAGATAAGATAGATGGCTCCGAACCCCAAAGTCTCTGAGGTTCAATCCTATTGTTGGTACCGACTGCCGTAGTTGGTATTGACAAACTTCTGGAAACTGGATAAAAATTCGCTACAGTTTGCGTTGATATGTGCGACTCAGACAACGATCTTAAATGTGTTTGAATATCACATTTAGAATTTGTAAACGATGGTCTGGATAAAGATGATTTAGAGAAAGCTTCTTCATCAGATTGCTGCATGCTTAACTGACCTTGTCTAGAAACATCTATATCATTGCGAGAAAATTGACTATCAAAGACATTGTTTCCGTGACGTTTATGGTTATTGCTTGAGGCAGTAAGGTCAACATTTGTTCCAGCACAGTGTGCTGTACTTTGATTACTAGTACCAGAGTTATGCACTTTCAGAGTTGAGATTGAATCTTCATCGCCCAAATTTTCTCTTGGATTTTCTTGAAAGTATTTATTTTCATAATCAAATGGATTTGTGAGGACTGATTTTCCTGCATCTGAACGACTCTGTCTATCAGTTTTATCCACTAATTGTCTATTTGCAACTAGATTTTTCATTGCCTGATAGCCTCGAGACATGTGTGTATGTCCTTGTAATGCACTTGTCTTATGTCCATTGCCTTTATCATTACGTATACCATGTTCTTCATCTTTATTTATAACAACCAATTCTTTATCTGTGTTTCCCTTCATCGAGTGCTCAGCACAAGAGTCACTTGTTCTTTTCTCATCTTCACTTTGTTTCCTTTCTTCAATCACAGTCAAATCCTGTTCAGACTCATGTGGATTTTGATTTTCCGCAGCCCTCTCCTTTTCAGCGCGGTCAATAGAGGCTCTTCTTTTAGCTACACTCATGCCAAGCCAATGAAATGGAATGTTTTGTTTTGCTGACAAATCATACGATTGAACAATAGTATCATCAGTTTTGTCTGTAACTCTGTGCCTTTCTACCATCAGTTCAAAGTCTTTTATATCTGCCGGTTTGTTATACAAAGGATTTTCGAAAATTGTTTTATCAAAATTATCCTCATTTTGTAACGACAGCATATGTTTCACAAGGGAAAATTTTCCACTTGGAATAATCTGTTCTTTTGGTGCTGTAAACGTTTTCTTTAACCCGTGGATATCTTTACCTACAGCCTTGTCATTATATTGAACTTCATCCGTCTTATTAGCATCACCATGTGTGTTTTGAAGTCTGGAATTAGGAATGATAAAAGGATTATGAAGTTTTGTATACATTGAACTGAATACAGATGGCAACCTCATCCCTGATTTTCTATTGTCAGCCCTGGACTCTTCCTCATCTGTCTTGTCCTCAGCTGTATAAGAACTGCTAGGTTGTTCCTTGGTAGGGCCCGACATTATGGTCTGAATTGAGGACGGTTTAAACAAAAGTTCAGGTGCATCTTTTGTTTTGTCGGTCGGAAAACTGGTCAGTGCAGCCAACTTGAATTTTTTAATACCAACATCATTGTTAAAGTTGTCTTTACTTTGTTTTGAATCAGCTTTGCGCTTCTCTCCATAGGCAACGTTTTCTATATTATGCTTTTCAGGCTCTTCATGTTCAGTAGAGATATCTTTTAGATAGTTTCCCCGTTTCATCCAAAGTTTATCTAAGTTTCAGAAAAAAAATTTCTCACTTTTAATATCAGTCCCCTTTTGCATTATTAATCTCAAAAATTTTCATATGCCATTTTAAAAAGTTTTCCCAGTTCTTTTTCCCCAAAACCACCCAAATTTTTAAAAAAAAAAGATTTTTTCTCTAAGGGTACTATTATCAAATTTTTTTTTTTTGTATTTTTTATTACCTGGGGACTCTAGAAAAAGTTTTTTCTTTAGGTCTTGTATTAATATCAACCAGTTTAAGTTTCTTACTTTTGATGCATTTCATGACATTAGAAAAACCCACTCTTTTTCTACATTCCTCACGACTGAAATTATCATTAAAACCAGATTCGTCATCTGAATCGGGAAAATCATATTCGTCTCCTTCACTCCATCTTGATTCCCTTCCTTTCTTAACTGTATCATTATTCCCTGAACTATATTCAGATGAGTCAGGTAAAGTTGGTAACTTTTTCACACTGCTTTTCACAGAATTGTTAATTCCTTTGACTTTTATGCTTTGATTTGCTGAGTTTAACTCACATCTGGTTTTATCTTCAATTACATTACCTTGAGCTGAGTCATTAGGACTATCAGTGTTACTATGAATATCGTTGAACACTTCATAAGAATTATCTAGAGTTTCGTCATCTTCTAGGTCAATGTGTGTTTCACCTATCCTTTCCCCTGGTCCATTTAAATCCTCTTTGATACAGTTTGACGAATTTACCTTTTTATCTTCCTTGCTTGATAAACCTTGAGGATCATGAAGCAACTCGTGCTTTTGCATTGCTTGTTTCCACCGAAATTCTCGCCCGCATGACTTGCACGTAAACTGTTTTTGAGTTGTGTGAACAGCTGAATGTTTCCTTAGGTTCACAGGCTGACTGAACACACGATGGCATTCGTGGCACTGATACCCGCCATCTTGATGCACGAATTTCACGTGCCTACAAAGGCTTTCTTTTATTTTAAACTTCTGATCACACAGATCGCACGCGTACGGAAATGACGACTGATGAAATATGCTGAAATGCCTAGCTAGACTGTCTTTTGAGCTTAGTGTTTGTCCACACTGAATACACACTTGTCGTTTATTATCATTATGTACCTCTTTATAATGTTTCTTTAATGAGGAGGTACTTGAAAACACATTCTCGCACACTTTACACGTGCATGCTATACAATCACCTATTACATATTCTTCCTTTAAAGTAATTGCACTTCCCTCTTGAATATTATGCCCTGTTGGTTCTGATTTCGAAGTAACAGTCCCATCAACGGCTGCAACATTACAGCCTAGCATTTCAATATGCTTTCTAAGAATGTCGTCTGTTTTGAAATGTTTGTGACACACGGTGCAAGCAATGTTAAATTTCCCATCTCGTTTCAGTCGACGATAATGTTTACCACGATCGTCTGAATTTTTGAACCTCTGTAAACAGACCTCGCAGGAGAAAGGTCGGTCGTCCTCGTGATAGGCCGCATGTCTCTCCAGCGCCTGTTTGGTCTTCGCGACCTTGCCACACTTCCCGCAAATAAAGTTATCAGGCATTTTTTTATACATGCAGGGTGACTTTCACCAAGAAATTGATAAACTTCTGCAAGGTCACATCTGAAAGTATATAAAATCAATATTAACATTCATGGTATGGCTCACATGATTTCTATATAATTTATACGGACACATTATAGATCAATCTTCTTATTATCTTAAAGCAACTAGACTCCAGATTTAAGCCAATTTTCATTAACATTTTGAAAATGTATTTAAAAATATAATATTTTCAAGTGAACATAGAAAATAATTTACACATTGCACTTTAATACTAAAATAGCAAACTACATGTATCTTAAAAGTTTAAGACTAAAATAGCAAGACAGTGACCCCCAGGGCTATATTTTGAGACATCAGGGGTATGACCTATTAAACTTTGGAAGAGGTCCACTAGGCAATGCTACATCATTATCTTCCTATGTGAGGCTACAATTCCGAGAGCTTTGATATTTGACATTGTCACCTCTAAGATCTAGCCTTTGCAGATTTTAAGTACTAGAATTTTCCTAAGTATTTACTATACAATAAAAGCCATGACCCCTGTGGCAGTGTCAATTTTGACCTATCAGGGCTATAATTACCAAATATGACCCAGTGGTTTAAATAAAAGGTTGTTTGAAAAAAAGTTGGAACAAACTAACAGACGATCATAACACCTGTTTTATTTTGATAAAAAAAGCACATATAAATTGTGATCACAAAAGCACACCTTCACTACAAATTGTGATCACAAAAGCAAACCTCCACCACAAATTGTGATCACAAAAGCACATCTTTTGCACAAATTGTGCTCACAAAAGCACACCTTCACCACCAATTGTGATCACAAAAGCACATCTTTAGCACCAATTGTGATCACAAAAGCTAACCTTCAGTACAAAGTGCTCAGAGGTGAGAAAAAAGTTATGTGTAACTTAAAATCTTTAAATACAATATCCAATAACAATTTTATAAGTAAGGCTCTACCTGTAACATCTGTTGATCTTTCCATCACACATTGATACTACTACAAATTAATTGAGACACGAGTTTCATAAAGCTAACAGAATGAATATCTGTAATGTAACACGTGTGAAATTTCTATGAAATGATGGGGAAAAACTATTTTTTTCCGTATTGTTTCCTTTTATAATATTTCATACACTTACATGTATAAATGCTGCTAAAAACCTATTTTTTTCCGTATTGTTTCCTTTTATAATATTTCATTCACTTACATGTATAAATGCTGCTAAATAACAGAAAATGTATTCTAAAGTAAAATATTATCAATAGAAACAAAAAAAAGTAATTTACACATTGCAAATCTATGTCACTTACAAATACAATTCACATGAATTTCCAAAGAGATGTGAAAATATGCAATAATAGCCCTAATTTGTCACTGCAAAAGTCACATGTCACAGGCAGTAGAAATAATATACAGTGATAATTATAGTGCAAAATCTGTCATTAATCTTCCATAACATGGAAATCATGGCTTGAATATTTTTACTTTTCTTAAATTCCACTTTGAATTTTTCAAAAAATATTTTTTGCTCATCTGGGGTCATGCAGCTTTAAAAACAAAAACAAAAAACTTATGTAGCAATTTACAGCTGCGCCACTCTTGACCAATATAAATTAGTTTAATGCTTACTTAAATATACACTAACCTCTACATTTAATAAAGGCAAGTGGGTACCCTGAATATATAACCATATAGTTTTACACAGTGAATCATTCTGCACTTAGATCATCTGCTAAGGCAACAAGCATCTCATGGATAAACTTTTCAATTTTTTCTTTTAAAAACACCATCACATATCACATAATCCTGGTCACTACCATAATGGTTCTACATACTGTAAAATTCCTAATAAAAGCCCCCCCCCCCCCCCGGCTTTTTGATATGGAAAAAAATCTGCTCATGAGTGGTGAACTCTTTAATAACTCCGTTATTTTATTCAAATCCTTCAGAATCCATTTTATTTCATTAACACAAAAATGTATCACATGAACTTTAAAATCTTAACATATTTTAATGTTATTACCAACCCATGTTACACTTAATGTATTTTAATGATTTTTGGATTTAGGAAAAACGTGTTGTAATAATAGCCCACCTTTTGGAAAATGTTTAGCCCCCGGGGGCGTTTAATAGGAATTTTACGGTATATCATAAAGTAATACTATGATCAATGCTTTTTTTCCTTATATTTAGCAGCTTTTCTATATTTGATAATATATTTCTCATTTCATTTAAACAATACTTTACTAGTTATCAACATGTATACCTCCTCAAAGCAGAGATTTACATGTATGGAATTGATATAAACAGGAAAATCAGAAATTCAACATTTCCGAAGAAATATATTTCTAGATTCTAGGTAGGGCTGGAAAATGAACATGTTTTAGGATGGGTAAAACAATGTTCTACTGTAGATATATCTATATATAAATTACAATGTAATATAAAAACATGTTAATTTTGCTAATCATATGACACTGTGAATTTTTTTTCAAATTTTTCCAAACAGCCTGTGGCTTTCTTAAGGGGAAATTATAGCGTGATAAATCAGAAAAAGGGAGAAATCTGAAAAAGAATCTACCCACATATTTTATAAAATTTTCAAATTTAGTTCAATTTAGCATGGAATTTTGGTATACATAACAGAGATAGGGACAACTTTCTGTGTTTCACTCAATAAATGTATTAATTCCCTGAGTCATATGCTGTTAATTATGAAGTGCTTCAAATTAATAAAAAAGGGAAAAACACAATTGCACAAATCCAAAACCATCAGGTGTATAACTACACATGCAGACCAACATTTCTGTTGAACACAGTTCTAGGTGAAATACTTTTTGAGTTACACACAACAAAACAAAATTTCAAATTGTTTACTAAAGATCAAGAACAATTTCTCTACAAATACATATACTGAATAAATCCACAAGCAAACCTACAGGACCAGAACTATACAAAATACAATGCTGACCAACATTTTTGTAAAGTTTCATGAATCTACGGGTTGGGACAGAAAGTTATTTTTAGTCCCAGCTCTCGGTTAAATAATTTCACACAGAAAGTTGAAAAATGCCATTTTTTTTACAAATGCCACTTTTTTTACTTAGTCAAGGGCAATAACTCTACAAATAATGAAAAAATCAAAAGCAAACTCTCATAACCATACATACTGATTTAGATAATAAACCTTTGGATAAAATTTTATGATTCCAGACAAACACTATTTTAGTTTCATGAGATATCATTTAAATATTGAAAATTTTACTAAGTCACAGGCATTTATTCGACATCAGGTGCACAATTTCATTTAATGCTGATCAACATTCCTTCAAAGTTTGTTTATTGCAGCTCGCGCAGTTTTAGGTCGATGTGACACAACAGTTTGGAATGGTTTTCAATAAGTCAACGGCTATGACTCTACAAATAATGAATAAATTCAAAAGCAAACCCACAGGTGCATAATGTGTTGACCAACATTGAGCGATACAAATAGAAAATTGCGACTTTTTACTATGTCAATGGTGATTACTCTAACAAAACTGAATTAATCCACATGCAAAACCCCATTAACTTATTGGTTACTATGCTTACATGATTCTGGATTACTATGTTTTTGCTAACAATATTCTGACAGTAAGCTTGTTGGTTACTATGCTAATATTTAGTTCTGACAATAAACCTGCAGTGTCTATTCTAGGATTCGAAAAACAAGGGGGATTTTTATCGAAAAGTGAGAATTTAATACATTTGTTGATCTTTTTCCTTCTTTCTCTAAAATTTTCCCCGTCTCTGAAAAAATAGGGGGGAATTTTCAAAAATATGAGTGAATCCCCACATCCCCCCTCCTAGAACAGACACTAAACCTGTTGGTTATTACGATAACATTGTTCTGACAATAAACCTGTTTGTTATTATCAAACAGATATTGATGATATACATGTTCTGACAGGGCCTTATTATTCTGGCAGGTATCTTGTAAAATGCATAGATCAAGATCTTGAGAATCGTCATGTTTATTTTGTGTTAAAATTGTCACAAGAATATCCTAATTTTAGAAATGGCCTTTCAAAAACAGATATAATATTGCAAGATTGTTTGCTCAACATTAACGCTTAAACAAAACAATGCAAAGCTCCTGAATTTAAGACATACATGCCATAATTTCCAGACTGATTTTCGTGACACTTTCAAAAATATTTCTAAAATTAGCATAGCAGCGTGTGACCTAGATATTTACAACTTGCAAATATTATGATATAGTAAAGCATGCGCTACGTTTTATCACTGTGGTAGCGTAAGGTATTCAGCATGCCTGTTTATATATGGTGACAATGCTGCATCTGACAAAATAAAAATGTTAAAAGAGCGGCTTACAAAGTTTTGGAAGCCTGAACCATCACTGCAAAAGCTCGACCGCAGGGTACATTCATAGTTAAATCACCGCTATATATCTCCAAAAAGTCAATGCGATTTATAACACAGAAATGAAATGTACTTTTATATTTTTTAATTAATTAAAACATTTCTAAGTAATTGTCTCGAGACTCTAGGATAAAAATAATTCCCAAAATCGCGCTACTTCAAAAATAATTGCAAGTATGAAAACATTTGAAGAATTTGTCAAATCATTTCCATACAATTAATGAATTATTATTATTATTATATATTATTATTATTAATATAATATTGTGTATTATTATAGACGTTGAAATATGATTTTTTTTTTCAAAACGGCTTATATTAAGTTTTTTTGATATATGTGATCAGTACATGTGCTGGGATTGACACATATATATTTTATTTGGATTTTAAAGGCGTTTTTAGCTCCACACCCCAAGTGTCTGTGAATTTGTTCATTTGATATTTATATTGTAAATTAGTGAAAAATTCTATTTGTCCACACTTGGCAATACATACAATTTATCATGTCACCCTAGTCCTTCATTGAAAGACATCGCATTTTCTTTTTTTACATTTTGACTTTTATCGTAAAGCGGATTTGACCCATGTAAAAAATAGCTTCAAATACGAGGTTACGTCTAAATATTTGGACTACATGTCACCCCTGCATATTCTGTTACTGATAAAACTTGACATTGATTAAGAGTGTAAACCAAAGATATTTTTACATTGGTCAAATCCGCATGTTCCAATAAACGTCAAACTGTAAAATAAGAAAAATTATGCAATGTGTTACAAATTATGAAGGACTACAGTACGTTGATTAGCTGTTTAGGTTGATAAACATCTTAACAACTCATATGTCTGATTCTTACACCAATGGCAAGGATTTGGCATATACTTTTATCATTTTATTTGCACGACTGCAAATAATACTTTTAATGTATGAGTGCACAAAAGTTTATATTGACAAATGACCCACTTAGTACAGTAGATATCACTTTTGTCGTGTTGCAAGGGCCATGTAGATTCTATATTTGTCAAGGCAAGAGGGCACTGAAAAATGAAGCTAAGACATTTATAAATAAGAAATCATTCATAAAAATGTGCAGAATGAATTAAACCTAGTAAAATATAGTTACCATGGACATCTGTAGTAAAGTATCGAAATAATTTTTGTTTAGTTTTTGTCATTTTTTATAAACAAACACCTGCACAACACGGATCAATTATTACTTTCTTCACCGAATAGAATTTGAGAGCAGTCGATGTCATCTACGCAACAAGGTGTTAACGGTGACACTCCACTAAATGTTTCGATTGTATAATGGAAGACGTAAAAGCTTTAATAAATTAACAGAGTAACAAGAACGTAATTTATCCAGATGAAAACAGTTTGACTTAAAGCACAATAAGCCTCAGAAATGCTTTTATTTTTATTTCTCAAAAGCTTTGTAATATTGGTGTACCTTTAAACAGAGTCGTTCAAACAGACCCTGCTTTAAAGTATCCAAAAAGTAACCCCATTGGCCAATTATTGAACCATCTTTTACATATGTTGCACTTTGGATATAAGTACAGTTATAGTTAATTGGTATTTTGTAAGGAAGTCAAAACCCTACTGTGTTTACATTTTGCTACTTTTACTGGTCTTCAATATACCAGGTTAAAAAAAGATAAATTATTGTGGTTATACAGAGTAAGGGAATAAACTAACATTCTAAAGTTACTGTTCTACACCTAAATCAAATAGAAATATCAATCTTAAATGAAAAATTATTTCCTGTCCCGTCGTGTCAAAAGAAGGAGAAAAACACTAAAAACCCCACCAACAACAACTAACTCAGTGGAGCCTCTTTAATTTGCATTCCTTTAAAACTAGAGCATTGTTCAATAAATATTGAATGCTGAAAACGAGCTTGAGAAATACCTTAATATCATCTACGAAAACAAATACGGAATAGCATTAACTAGATTTAGAACTTCGTCACATAGCTTAAATATTGAAACCGGAAGATATGATAACATCCAAAGAGAAGATAGATTATGTAGGTTATGTAATATTAATCCAATCGAATCGGAATACCATTTTCTTCTAGTTTGTCATTTTTTTCTCGCGCACGAGAATCTCATTTTACGCGCGGGAAGTATTAATCATTATTGATAGTCATGTACTATTCTGTAAACCATGTTCTCTTTGTATATGTATACTTTGAATGCTAAAAACTTTGCAAAAATGTTAAATGCTGAATAAACTATTATTGTATTGTATTGTATTGTATTATATTGTATTGTATTGTATTGTATTGTATATTTAAAATGCAATGTTAATCAGGTTGTGCTAAGCCAATTATTAGGTGTTTATCGAGGTAATACACGTGCCATTTGTTTTTCCATCATGGTATCTTCATGATTCAGGGATGCATTTTATAAAAAAATCTAGATTATCTTGATTTTATTTAGTTTCATCTATAATAGATGTATAATTCAAAAGAAGAAAAAAACCAAATAAAACAGCAACAAAAGTATTGTCATTTTCAATAACCCAGTCTGTAATTATATTATGATCTTTTGATTTGATTGAAAATGAATAAAAAAGAAGAAACAAAGAAATGAAAACACAAAATTTTTAACATATATTTTCTGTTGAAAGTTCTTGATTAAATAAATTAATACGATAAATCAAACATTTAGTATGTGTATACTTTGTATGCTAAAAACATTGTAAAATGTTTAATGCTGAATAAACTGTTATTGTATTGTATATTTAAAATGCAATGTTAATCAGGTTGTGCTAAGCCAGTTATTGAGTGTTTATCGAGGTAATTAATGACCCGTGCCATTTGTTTTTCCATCATGGTATCTTCATGATTCAGGGATGCATTTTATGAATTAATTCTTAATTTGATTTAGTCTCATTTATAATAGATGCATAACTAAAAAGAAAAAAAGAAATAAAAAGACAATTAATTAACTTACTGCAACAAAAGTGTTATCATTTTCAGTAACCCGGTCTGTAGCAATATTACGATCTTTTGATTTGTTTAAAAATGAATAAAAAAAAACATTTTTTTGTTGGAAGTTCTTGATTACATAAAGTAATACGATAAATCAAACATTTAACAAATATGCAGATTTTAATAATCATACTTTTTCCAATTTTAAAAATGCAATATATATTATATTATTGTAGAAAGTAACCTTTCATTTGGTACAAAAAGGGATAAATTCTATGTACATAAATGTGTCAGATCATAAGATTGGCTTGCTGCGATTTGCTACCTTTTTTAAAAGAAATATCGGCGATGAGGAGATTTTTTTTCCAGAAATTTATCTAAATTCATGCGCGTATTTTGTATCTTTACAAAAACCAATATTCATTTTCACACTGTTGGTGTAAAATGATTGGTTTTATTTAAATCTTAGAACAAATATGTGGCAATTAATTGAAAAATAGAATTAATATAGGACACCATTTTTCAAAATTGAGCATATGCAATTTTCAAGGAAGTCATTTTCTATGTTTCAGTCAATATGTTTTAATTTTTTTTCTGTATTAATGATGGTTAAAATCTTCCATTCTATACAAAAATTTTGAAGATTGGTTGATGTATTTTAAAGGGTGCGGTGTTTTCCTTATTGAGTTTCACAGTATGTTTTTCAGACCAAAAAGGGAAACTTTGAAAGAATTCTTATTCTAAAGGCGTCCGCAGAAAACTTTTGGTGTAAGCTTTCATTTGATACCAAACGTATTAAAGTTGGTTTAGAAATTAAGAAATCAACATAGCTTATTGCTAGGGAGTAACTATGCCAAAATTAATAATATGCACAATGACGCTGGGGAATTAGAAACATCGTATATAAGACTTCCTTGTATGTCCAATGAATATTATGATGGTCATTCGGAGAATGCTCGACCATGTTTGCGATCTTTTTTATTTATTAATATAAATGCACAGCATTGATGTAATCATGCTTTTGTCACAGATGTTAAATATAATAATTATTAAGTAAATCGACAACTTGAAGAATGACAGCGCAAGCACCTGCTAGCAGAATTAAGCAGATTTACAAATTGACAAAAAGAACCAATATCTACCAGTTTATGCATTTAATAGCAGCAAATTAAAAAAAAAGTTTTTTTATATCGAATTTTAAAATTCTAAATTTATTTGAATGTTATTTAAATTCATTTTTTAGAAATATAATATTAATATATTCAATTTTGTTTAAAAAAATAAAAATTGGCTATTCTTATATAGCCAGTCTTTTCAACAGTTTTCAGCTCCGAGTTTACCCAAATTTATTTTTAAATATGTAAAATATGAATTGACAGAGCTTTCTATTTCTATTTGATGAAAAATTACATTGTAATTATAATTGCAAATTACCATGATATGCATATTTTTATTTTCTGATCACAGATCATGAAATACAATGCTGACATTCACTCTCAGGAACAGCGATTCCCAACAATCCTAACAACAAAAAGTAGTTCTCAAAACGGCTTAAAACTAACGATGAGAACCTAAAAGAAAGAAACATTTTTATTTTGTTACAAGTATCACGGAGTTTCATATTACATTTGCCACGATATGCAAGGATAAAGTGTTGCTATCAAAAAAATGTACATAAAATGAATTCATAATATAAATTAGAAACACGATCTAGTCATGCAAAATTCCGTATGTATCAAAGCAAAATACTAAATTATATCAAAATAAACTTATACAGGAAAATACATACAGATATACAGTACCATTTAGATTGCAAAGATCAGAAAAATATCATAGAGCTTGCAGTCCTTTGATTATCATTATACAGATATTTGGTAAATGACCACTAAATGTTTCATCCCAACAGATTTTTAATATAACGACACCGATGACGTCATTTCACATTTTGCTTATATATTCTGAAAAATCGGCCGTGCGTGTCAAACAATAATTTCGAGTTACGCCATCAGGCGTGATGTTGAAAGCGTCGCAAGCAATAGTCATTGACGAAAACTTTGGGCCGAAACCTGTAGCAGATAAGGCAGATATGCCTGCATTACAATCAACTAATTTGTGAGTAAAGATCTTACGATTTTCTCGTGATTGTAAAAGAAATTTTCATTTGTTTACGTGCTGACCTTCATTCAAGATGGCGACTGCGAGATCTTGACAAAATTTATTGAGTGCGTAATTTTACATTACGTTGTAATCACATAGAAGATTTGTTAATTATCTTATTTAAATATAATTTTAATGTTAAAGGACCTGATTTTGTTCTGTTTTAGCTCCTTGAAATTGTCATGAAATTTTTTAGACGTGAAAACTTGGAGGAAAACATTGGACTTTCAACGTGTTTATTGATGAATATGTGAAAAGTTGTCACTGATCTTATTTTTTTAATGAAAATCAAAAAAAAAAAGATTATTTTTTTTTGTCAGATATCGTCATGTTGCCAAATGCATGCCAGACAGACCGAAAATTGTCCTTTGTTTAAAGTAGATCTTCCTGTTAGATCTTCCTGTTTTCAATCTTCAAGTGTGATTGCGCCAACGTACAATGTAGATGTAGATGTTTGCTGTTACATGGGTAAAGATGGATACAGAAAATAAGCTATTTCGCAAAAATAACGGCTATGAAAATAAGATTTTTTTTATTATTACATTTATCTGTTTAGATAATTGTTAATTATATATTTTTGCATGCTTTGAATGATTTTACAGCAAATTAAAATTTCAGAACCAAAAAAATATTTTAAAAAGTGAAGTTTAAGCCGAAAATACCATCATACGCAAATAGCTCAAATCGCCCTGTAAAGTGAAAATAAGACCGGGTCAACAAACATAAACCAGATAAATGCACTATTTCAAAAATAAATATTATTTTCGTAGCAGCGATCTTATTTTCGCTTAAATAGCTTATTTTCGGTAACCATCTATACCACATTATAAGAATAAAGATTATGATAGATTATTTATTTATTGTCATGATGGTTCCAGTATTAGAATTTAACGTTGAGACAAATTTAATCATACAAACCGACATATGGGCAGTATGTTATAATTTATAGAAATCAAAGACTCTGTGTGATAAATAATCATTATGATTCAGGGTGTGTTCTGATAAATAGATAATAGAACTAAAAGGAACTAACATTTTTAGTGGCGGAAAATTTGTCAAAATAAGTCCCAGCACTGAGCAGGGCTTTTTTTCACAGGTTGGAGAAGCAGCCCTGCCCTTAATTTTGGGGGAAAATTTACACTGTATATTTGCCAAAGGGGGGTTAAAATTTGATGTAAATTCAATTTTCGGGGAAAGCTGCATGATTTCAAAGAATATTTCTTTGAGGAAGCAGCCCTGTAACAGCCCCTGCTATAGAAGGAAGAAAAGCCCTGCCAAGGGTCAGAAAATGTTTATGTCAAGAACTAAGTAATTAAGCATAAACTTACGATAAAGGTCACTTTTATTCAAATTGCCATTGAGTCTATTTCACTGTTGTTTAACAACCATACAAGTTACATAATAACTGATTATATAGTGTTTTTTCAATGTTGAAGTGTTCAATTTTAACATTAATTTCAGGTTTTCGTCGACAAGGCAGTTTATACGTCTGGGTGCGGGGCCTCGGCAGTGTTCCTGATGTTCCCCATGCCGCCAACGTGTCATTCGTGACAGAGGGCAGCGGTGTGGGGGTTTCAAAAGAGCCCCCTGTCAATGTCAAGGTCATCAATTCAGACAGTTGCTTTGGTTACAGCAATACCCTGACATCTGAAGCACAGGTATGTGGACAACTTTGTCAAATATTTTATTGTATGTCTCTTTATTTATGTCTGTAAGCAAGGTTAATGAACTGAATGCGATAGGAAATGTAACCTCAAGCTGGCTGGTGGCAAATGATTTCACCAGTGCTGTCAGTGTCTGAGCATTGTCTGCCCTGTTTACTCAATAGATATTTTCAAATTTTCTCCAAAAAATAAAAGAAAAGGTAAATGGTTTTGTTTCAACGGAAAGATGGACAATTTCAAGGATTAGATTTAGGGTGGTCAGAACATAAAAAAACAGCGTAAGTTAAAGCAAGCCTTTTAAAGGAATCCATGTGTGACAGGAGACTGTCCCCTCCCTTCCCCTTTTCAATCCTTGGGACTTTAGGTTCAAGCCAGACTTTGGTCAGGACCATGTTCCACATGTTACAATGGTATAGATAAGGTAATTGAGATTGCTTGAAAAAACAGTCCAATTTTTCTATTATCTATACACCTGAAAATGTCAAAACAGATTTACTTTCATGTGTGAAAGAAATGAATGATCTTAAAATAAATTTATAGTGTTATTTGATGATCTTTGTGCTATTGAATTTTCTGTTTTAATGGTTTACAGACAGCCTCGAATCTGTGTTTTATCGTGAAAGTAGCAGCCAATGTGGAAGTTGCTTGGGAAACTATTTACGTAGACAGAAAGTTATATGTAGAGATTCCTAACAGCCTTCTGCCAGAGGGATCGAAAGAAAGGTATCTAGAATTTTTAGAAATATTCAAATTTTATAGGACAGACTACTTTGGGATTTTGAAAAATTAATCGTTATACATTACTTCTTACATGTGTGTCTTTTCTGAGTTCTGTGTAAAATCTTCCAATTGGTCCAGTGTAAATTCTGTGCCATCTCTGACCATTCAAATACCCGAGTTATAAGTTTGAGTCTGGAAAAAATATAATTTTATAACCTTAGTCCCTGCAGGAATCACTGTAGGATAACTAGGATTAGAATTTTTCAATAATGATGTAAAAATATTGTTTCTTTGTTTATTAAATTCTGAATGTAGGAATTATTAATAAAATTAAAAAATTATTGCTTAAGAGCAGACCTTTAAGTGTATAATATAATGACCTGATTTTAGAGAGGTAACCCAACATTTTCCTAGTTCTGCATGTATTTAAGGTACATGTATTATTGATTTAGCCCTTTGACTGCCTATGATGTCAGAAACTACCAGTGCAACCAAGATCAGCCTACTGATTTTTAAATTTACTAAAAAATTATGAATGTTTATGTCCAGAATAAAAAGACGGACAAGTTCATTTAAGATATTTTATAGCATGGTTAGGAGTAAATTAAAACCCCAAAATAAATGAATTTATATGTAAATGTTTTCAGTCTTGTTACTCTACTAGAGTACGCAGAAGAACAATTGGATTGCAGCTATGTCATTCTGGTCTTCAAAAAGTCTAGAACTGATAGGGGTAAGTTAAGCTATAGATATTACAATTTTCTTATTGAAGAATGTTATTAGAATAGTCCTGCCTCTATTTGAGTCATAAAATGGCCCGTTATTGAATATTGGAAGATTTCTGGTAATATTTTATTGATATCACTCAAATTTTTAAGTAACAATGAATTTGGATATGATTCCAGATCAGTTAATCACTTTTGATTCTCCATGGCCAAGTTGTTAAGTTTTGCTTGATGGTTTTAATCCTGCAAGGAATTCTTTAAGTGGATGAAACGAGTTAAAACAGTTCATTTTTATCTCTCAAAAGTTGAAACAGTTTGATTTTTTGGGGCTGCTGTTGGGATATTTTATTGAAATTGAGGGAAAAAGAAAGGCTATATTTCTTATTTCGACCCCTTGTAATAGGGTAAAATTCCATGCTCCACAAGGATAGCTGAAATGTTGCCATTTGGCAAACTACACAATGTTTCAAAAATGTTTCAGTAGCTTATAGATCAATTTTGTGTGGAAGATGGGAGTAAACCAAAATTAGTTTAACATAGATGTCCCTCAACAGTACAAAAAGCAAAATCTTTATATTACAGTACTTTGATACCTGTGTCAGTTTCTTAGAACTCACCATCTCTAAAAATCTTTTCTGTATATATTTTTATCGTGCATAATTGATCTACTTTATTTAATAGCAATTCATAGTTTACTGAAGTATTTCGTTGTTTGTTTTTTTCAGCGTGTCTAATTCGGACTTTCATGTTCCTTGGATTTGAAGTGGTGGTGCCGGGCAACCCAATAGTGCCAAACACAGGTGATCTGATGTTCCTGGCGTACACCATCGATAACTACGATTCCGATTAGAACTTTTGAGCGACACAGAACCATGTCGCGAGGCAACCACTTCAGCAATAAAAATCATTATTTGATATAAGACAGGGTTTTATATAATGCATAATAAAATACAAATATATATATTTTAAACATCTGCAGATTGATACAATTATGGTTTGATAAGTGTCACATAGTACAGAATACATCGTACATGTACATTATTTAAAAATTTATTTGATACTTTTCAGAGACGCAATTTTGGTGATAATTCATTATCGCAAGCTAAAAATCTACAAATTTGAAACAAATTAAAATTTGTTTATATTTTTTTTTGACTTAGAAACAAATTTAGACCGTTGGAAATCGGTCTTGGTTCATTGGAACAAATTTTGTCCTTCACTGTTTTTTAGATTTTATTTAACAACAGGGATATTGGTATTTTATTGAGAAGGGTTGCCTCGTGACATTCATACCATTTCAAAAGTTTAATGTCAGGTGTATTGACTGTTTATTATATTGTATTTTTATGTCTGTTTTGATGAATTTGATGTTTCTTCACCCAACCTCTATATAAAATACGCACTTTTTTCCTACCATTTCTCTATGATATCTTTTACTCTCTACATATCTTTTCCTGTTCTTGTTGGTTTTGAAATTCTCTTTTCTGTACTTTCTTAACAGGTCATGGCATTGTTTAGACATCATGTTTATAATTTGTTTTAATAAAATTATTTGGATCTATTTTAATGGAAAAAACACAAGTGGTTTTAAATAGTTGACGTGAACTATGAACTATTGTAAACAACATAAAGTTTCTATTGGAAAAAAAATTGTTTATTTGATATAGATAAACAACTATGAATTTTCTACACACTGTACACAAAAAAGCAACAACATTTTGTGTAAATTTTCTCGAGGGAAATAATAATCTGAAATTTCTATTGGAAAAGTTCCATTCAAAAGCCATTTTGTCATATTGTTAAAAACATTACTTCAAGCTTTATGGATTTTAACAACTTTCCATGTAGAATGTTACGAATTCACATAATTTGTTATCGTACCATGGTATTGATTTTGTTCACCATCAGGGGTTTTTTGTTTTGAACCATTTCAGTGTGTTCATCCCTGGTTTTAACAGTTTGGTAAACAACCATTATCACTACTGTACATCAGTGTAAGTAAATACATACAAGCATACAATCAGAGTGCAGGTTTTTCATAGATAACTTAAATATAATATGCATTGATTTGAGTTTTTGTTAAAATCCCTGTTCAGATTGCAGTGTAGACAGAGTTTTGATCTTTTTGTATATACACTCCAGTGTTGTCGGTGTATTCCTGTTTGATAAAATAGATTTTGCCTTGACCTAATTTCTGTATTTTGACAAGTTATATTGTTAAACTGATAAAAGATAAAGTATACGAGGGCCTAAATTTTCCTGTAACCCGATATTGTAATAAAATATACAATTGTACGCATAGTTAGATTTTTTTCTGAAAATAGATTAAGTAAGGTAAATTCATAATGGATTTGTTTATGTGCACAGTGGTTTAAAGTTCAATAATGACTCGGTTTAAATAAATTTCTGAAAATGTGCTGGTAACCTAGAAGTTTTGTTGGCAAACATATTGATTTTAAATTATTTTTTTTAGAATACTTTGCCTATATGTACTGTTATAGCAAGGTACGTTGGTGACTTCATGAATTTGTGATTTTGATAGCGTGCATAATGGTTTTAAGATAATAAAATATTATTTTAAAGTAGGGGAGAATCATAACTTTACACCCAAGATACCAAACTCATGGTGGGGGGTAGGAGGGCGACATTTTTTTTAAAATCTGCCCCGTGGTATATCAGCTTGAACAATTTTACTTTCAATTCCTGAATAACATAACCCTTTCTGTCACTAATGACAAAAAGCTGCATTGTCGACAAGAAAAAAAAGTGCACAAAATAGTAAAAAAAGAGAAAAAAATATATAAAAATACCAAAAAAAAAATGCTTTTTCTTTAGTTAATTGTAATGCTGGCATACTTTATTATTTTGTAATGTTTATCATTTTTGTTTTGTTTTTGTAGATTACAATTTTGTTTTTATAATAGTCCTAAATTTTCATATTTTTTTTTTAGTCCTGATTCATCTCTGAAATGTCATTAAAAAAATATCTTTAATTCAGAATTTTTTTCAAATTCTTTTTCTCATCACCTGTTAAAATATTAATAATATCTTTTATTGTACGGACGCCAAAAAAGAACAAACATTGGTTCATAAATATATACACAGTCAAAATTTTTATTTAAATTTTTTTTTGTTCAGATTAAAAAACAAATGCCAAGTGTGATGAATTACAATGTCACCTGAGTGCTATAATATGTTAACTCCTTATAAGATTTAATACGAGTTAACCTGTTACTGCACTAAGGTGATGAGTATATCTTAAATTTTAATTTCCCTGTGAATTTATTTAAAATAAGCTATAATTTAACATTTTTCTTGTGTTTTTGTAGCAAACAGAATATCTTTCATAAAGACCAATAATGTTTTGTTGAAATATTGTAATATATTTTTCTTGATGTCTACCATTTGAAAATAAAACTTGTGACTGGCCATAATGAGATACTAACATCAGGGATGTTATATAGAACAAGGCAGTTCAGTAAAAGAATAAATTAACACATATTATTATATATTTTCAATGATTGTATATAATTGTATAGTAAAATTTGCATTCAGTTTCTTTTTGAAATGGTTGATATCATTTTTTATTTTTTTCGGCACAATAAATGTATTTTCATTCAATAAAAATGTGTTATGTATTCATTCAGACAAGTTTGATAATAGAGGTAACTGGTAAATTCATAACACAGGTATATGAGCCGCATCATGACAAAACCAACATTGTGGGTTTGCGACCAGCATGGATCCAGACCAGCCTAGGCATCTGCGCAGTCTAATCAGGATCCATGCTGTTTGCTTACCAACTCTATTACAAGTAGAGAAACTGATAGCGAACAGCATGGATCCTGATTAGACTGCGCGGATGAGCAGGCTGGTCCGGATCCATTTTGGTCGCAAACCCACAGTTGTTTTTTTTGTGATGCGGTTCATATATGTGTCATTTTGCAAACCTCTGGATCGGTAATAAACAGTTTCTGGCATTATGAAAACTTTTTACACCACGAGTGACCCAACAACCTGTCCCCACGTAATTATGCCCCCCTTCGAAGAAGAGGGGGTATATTGTTTTGCTAATGTCGGTCTGTCTGTCCGTCGGTAGACCACATGGTTTCCGCTGATTATCTTGAAAAGTATTTATCACAAAGTCTTCATATTTCACATAGTGATTGGTCATAACTAGTAGATGACCCCTATTGATTTTGGGGTCACTAGGTCAAAGTCACATGGACCTTAAATGTCAAAATGGTTTCCGCTGATTATCTTGAAAAGTATGTATCACAAAGTCTTCATATTTCACATAGTGATTGGTCATCACTAGTAGATGACCCCTATTGATTTTGGGGTCACAGGGACCTTTAATGTCAAAATGGTTTCTGCCGATTATCTTGAAAAGTACATGTATGTATCACAAAGTCTTCATATTTCACATAGTGATTGGTCATCACTAGTAGATGACCCCTATTGATTTTAGGGTCACTAGGTCAAAGGTCAAGGTCACAGGGGCCTTAAATGCCAAAAGGGTTTCCGCTGATTATCTTGAAAAGTATGTATCACAAAGTCTTCATATTTCACATAGTGATTGGTCATCACTAGTAGATGACCCTATTGATTTTGGGGTCACTAGGTCAAAGGTCACAGGGACCTTAAAATGTCAAAAGGTTTCCACTGATTATCTTGAAAAGTATTTATCACAAAGTCTTTATATTTCACATAGTGATTGGTCATAACTAGTAGATGACACCTATTTATTTTGGGGTCACTAGGTCAAAGGTCAAGGTCACAGGGGCCTTAAATCGCAAAAGGGTTTCCGCTGATTATCTTGAAAAGTATTCATCACAAAGTCTTCATATTTCACCTAGTTATTGGTCATAAGTAGTAAATGACCTCTAACGATTTAGGGGTCATTAGGTCAAAGGTCAATGTCACATGGGCCTTAAATGTCAAAATGGTTTCTGTTGATTTTTTCCATAATTGAACACTTCCATGTACCCATTTTTGGCAAGTTTCTGTAATAAAATTACCAATTATGTGAGTCAATTGCTAGAAAGGGGGGTATATGTGTCGTTCGACATTCTTGTTTCTGTATCAGTGGTAAGAAAAAAATGACAATTGGACACCGAATGTCATCGACACATTTCACCTCAGCTGTAGGTTGGATCCGTGTTGGCCCCTACTCTGGTGCCTGAATTAATGCTCAAAGGGTCACCCGATGTCATCCTCCACCAGTAAAGCTGAAAAGTTGCCATATAATCTATACTGTGGTGGTGTACCATTAAACGGTTAACCCAACCAAAAATAAAACTGTTTGTTCCTGAAATAATGCACAAAGGAGCACCTAAGATCTTCCTCTACCAGTAATACAAACTTTGTCGTAATAAGTTTGTCTTTCTTGTAGAGGAATTTAGTTGGATATGGTTAACAGTACAAAACATTAGCTTCAAGCTTGTATCTGACATATCCAGTAAAGGTGGAAAGTCGCCATATGACCTATACTGTGTTGGTGTGACATAAAAACAAACCTTACCTCCTGGATTACAAATCTGAGCCAAGCAGATTGACATAAGGTGATTATCTATCCCCACTTTAATTCAGTATTAAGGGCAAGTCCCGCTTTTACAAATTCAATTAGGGGCAAGTTCAGATAAGGGCAAGTCCCGCTTTTAAAATTCAAATAAAGGCAAGTCCCACTTAAAATTCAAATAAGAGCAAATCCCACTTTTAAAATTCAAATAGGGGCAAGTCCCACTTTTAAAATTCAAGTAAGGGCAAATCCCACTTAAAATTCAAATAAGGCAAGTCCCACTTAAAATTCAAATAAGGGCAAACTTGTTTTACAAATTCAGCACACGTCAGGTTAAAAAAAAGGTTAAGATCATTGGGTATTGGTATGCCACAAAAAGTCTTGTCAAATTGGTGAAATAAAAAGAAAACAAAGAAGTTTCTGAGTGACTAGAAAGTTAATGATTTATTCAGACAAACAGAAAATTAATGAAATGATTAAATGTACATGTAATATACAAAGATAATAATAGTTATGTAATTTCAAAAAACCAATGTTAACAACAATACAGGACACTGTACAAGTTTTATATATTAGATAAAATTATACAAAAAAACAGACAATCTGACCCATACCTAACTAACCAGTGCGTAGATTCCTATATGCTGTGGCCTACACATTTTGTTCCAAGATAGTGTAAAAAGTGTCAATTTTACAAGCCTACTTGAAATTTATTACTAATATTCCACTGAATATAAATTTCAGTGCATAGCTTCCAAGAAAAGTGTAAAAAAGTAATAATTTTACAAGCCTACTGGCAATTTATTTCTAATAATCCATTTAATATAATTAATTATAGCATAAAATCGGCTATTTTTCCCTCTTTTGCCCATGTTATAACGGGACCAAAACCATGTGTTAACATAGTCACGCGCTCTTGTTATAGCCCGGTTTCACCTATGCGCAATACATACAGGGCCCAGTAAACAAACAAACAAAAAATGACGATTTGGCCTGTTTGCATAAGAGTAATGCGCTCTTGTTATACTGAAATTTATTGATTCGAGGGCCTCAGTCGCATATTCAAGTAACTATGCCGGAAAAACGGCGTATAGACATCGGTGCTAATCTTGGTTGTCGCCCTTTCTAAGAAACGGACAGTTGTCAATGTAAACAAATACAGTAGAATCTCGTAACCTGTCATTCAGCTTAACACTCCGATTAACTTACAAAACTAGATAACACAAAATTAATATGAGAAAATGTTTTTTATTTATGTTAATGTTGATACATGCTCTTTATATTTCTTTGAGAGAATAATGCTTAGTGCCTGATATTTTTATAAACTTGTTTGCTTGAAAAAAAAACCGATTCTGATGTCACTGATCTTTTTTCTACCGTCAATCTGAAATCATTCTAAGAATTTCTGAGGGTCATGTTTTGTCTTGGGTAGAGGGTAGAGTAATGTAACGTTTTTTTTCTTGAGATAATAAATCTCCAAAGGCCAAGCTTTGTTAAATCGATTAAAATTCAAAATTTCGTTCGGTTCCGAGAATTTTCCAAGTTGTTGGCCCCGGAAAAATGAAACGCATACGTAAAACATAGAATTGGATAAATACCGTCCAAGCACAAGAATTTAATGTAATTGTGTTTTGTATAAACTATACATCACGAATCTGTTTGAAAATTTTATGCTATAATAGCGTCAACGCACGTTTATTTTGTGTTATAAAGTCTGCAGAGTCCCTCGGAACTGTTGGAGCCCTCGTCCTACCGGGCTCGGGCACCAACCGTTCCTCGGGACTCTGCAGACGTTATAACACGGAAAAACGTGCGTTAACCCTATATTATTATGTAATATACATGTGTATGATATTACATATCGTAATTATATGCCAAAACACACCAGCTCTGACAAAACAAAACAAAATCCTATGGGTGCATGCAGCAAATCGCCCTAGAATTCAGCCCCTACATAATCATGAATTTAAATCTTTTTTTTGCTATAGCCCATGCTAGCTTAAAAGTTTTGCTATAAGTGCATGATTGATAGGGTGAAAAAAAAATTTCAGGCCAGAGACAAAAGTTATCTATTATCTAATTGGGTGAATTTGAAGAAAACTTCAAAATGAACCAATGAAAAGCTGTAGCCCTAAGACAGGTTCCTGTTTTTGTTTCAACTTCCTCAAAATCTACACTTTGAAGTAATGGTAATGCTTGTTCATTGTTCTAGGTTATACTTAAGTGTTTGACACCTGTGATCCAATATTGTTGCAAAAAACTTAACTGACATGTTATTAAACTGAA